GCGTCTGCCGTGGCTGCTGCTGTGCGGCCTGCTGGGCCCGGCTCTCGGCGTGGAGCAGCCAGGTGGGTGTCCGCGTGCCCGGTGGGCGCCTGCTGGGGCCCCGCGCTGCTGGGCTGCGGCGTGCCGACCCGGCTCCGCTCCACGCGCTGCCGGAGCTCCGCCGCATCCGCCCGTTGCGGCACCCGCCGGTCTTCGGCGCTCCCTCCTGGGCACCCCGGCGGGCGCCGGAGCAGGCAAGCCCGCGGCGGGGTTGGTGTCTCCGGACCCACGGGTGCACGCTTGCTGCGCTCAGCAGCTCTTGGACTCCGCACGAGGTCCGCGCGGGCACGGACAGGGCGGGCTCTTCTCGGGCCGTGGTGTGGCAGGAACACTTTGTTTTTACGCGAAGTGCCGCGTTCCCACCGCCAGCTTTGTTGTCGATGCTGGGCTCGGGTCCCCCGAATCCCGACGTAGAATCTGTTCCGTTTAACTCAAGGGATTATCGGTAAGAACCCAGTCACTTCCGTCAAGTGCTTCTGAATCGTGAAACTTCCCTTAGATGTGTAAGACGTTTGTATTGGAGACGGTGGAGCAGAGTAGACGCGGTCGTTCTGGATACTCCTCTTATTTTAGCTTTCGTATTGCATTTTCCGTGCGGCTGCGTTATCAGCTCTGGAAGAGGACAGGCAGTGGAAGGCTTCCCGCGTCGGTGTCTGGAAAGTAAAGCTGAAGAAAGATCTCAGTGCAGGGCCGCTTAGCTTTTTCTCCTTAAGTCCTGTGTGAGGTCTTGGTGTTAAAAATACTGAAAGTGTTTTGAATAGGATCCTGCCAGCTCTTAGCTGGAGAAGATCACACTCTGTGAGGTTCTAGATGGGGACCGCTACTGAATTTAGTTGTAGCAATCCCTGATTTCTAGTGCTTGTAAGAATGTAAGTCTGACTCTTTTTAGTTCATGTATATGTTCATTTTACACACACACACACACACACACACACACACACACACACACACACACATTGATACAGTGTCCTTTTGCTCCCCGACTGTGGCTGCAATGGGCCAGTTGCTCACTTAGGCATGCTATCCGCCTTCGGAATTTATCCAACATTCATCAGACTTGGATAAACAGCACCCCCTGCGCTTGTGGAAGATCAAAGGGTGACCATTGTGGTAAGTGTATCTGAAAGGTTTACAGAGAAAGTGATTTTTGAGTTGAGCTAAATAGGTGGAATTTTCAAGTTAAAGGATAGGATTACATTGTAAAAAGGTGTTTTTTTTCCCCCCAAGAATATGAGGGTGTTCAAGTGATGAGACTGTGGTGCAGTTAGGTGTTCAATAGCCTGTATGAAAAGGCAGAGATGGAAGGGAAAACTAGAGCAGGCTGGTGGAGAGAGAGAGAGAGAGAGAGAGAGAGAGAGAGAGAGAGAGAGAGAAGAGCGAGAGAGAAGAGGAGCGAGAGAAAAGAGAGCTGTGCTCAGCTGATGAGTCAGTCAGATTTACCCTGTTAGATCTGTCTTTGGTCAGTGAAGGCTTTTAAGGAAGAGAATGGCAGTCAGATTGGCAGTCAAAATATTGACAACATGGGGGGAGGATGGAGTCTGGGAGGGGACGTGTTGGTGCTGAGTGCGTTGAGGCAGCCTGTGTCCTGGGGACAAATCTTAGGGAACCAGTATTTGGAATACAGGATGTTTAAAACATGCTCCGAAAGCATCTCTGCTAAGGAAAGAGAAACTTGAGCACAGTTCGGTCTGCACAGGAGGTATGTTGGGAGTTCAGTTGGCTTGAGCAGATATTTATCATTTATAGCATTGTCAGTCAGTGAGGAAATGCAGTTAAATTTTTGAAGAGAAGATTTAAGTGATTTAAGAAAGCCCAGGGTCAACAAAGGTAATGGCATCATTGTGAAACATATCAGTGGAAGTCAGATATGAAACCTCTTGATTTTTCTCTTGTAAAGTAGAAAGTATGATATATATATATATCATATTTTCTTTTAGAAACACTGGCTTTCTAAAGAAAATAAGACTGAAAGCTTACTCATGATGAGTCATTGTAAAATAAAGTATGTACAATAATCAGAACTTGGCTCCTTACCCCCCTCATTGTTACATGCCAGCAGGTTTTAAAAACTAATTTTTAAAATTAGTAGATAAACAGTTTCACACGTTTATCATTGTAGTTTGCATATTTCACCCTCCCTCTCAGGTTCCCTTCCTCCCCTAAGGCCCTTCTACTACTGTTTTCTTATACAATACAGGACCACATGCCCTGGAATGCCTCCACTTACAGTAGGCTGGGCCTCCCACAGCACTCAACAATCAAGAAAATTACCATCTGTCTGTCTTATTTCACTTAACATGATAATTTCGAGTTCCGCTTATTTTCCCCGCAAAGGGTGCATTTCATTCTTTATGACTGAATATAATTTCATTGTGTATATAGACCCACTTTATTCATTCATCTATCTGTTCATGGACATCTAGGTTAATATCATATTTTAGATACCAGCAGATTAAAATTTGTGCTATGAAGAAAGTGTTATCTTTTAAAGTTAAAGATGGTTTGGTTTCCAAACTTTTATGTGAAAAAGAAAACATTCATAATTGATACCTATAAAACTAGATTCTGAAAACTAGTTTTAAATTTTACCTTACCAAATTTGGCTTTATATTTGTTCTTTGTTAAAAGTCTTGGTTTACTGTAAAAGGACCAGAAGGTTTCATAAGCTGTAAGTAACATGAAGCTCTCTCTTATAATAGTGACAAACTCAAAACATATGACGTAGGTAACCTCATGATATTCCTCACTGACACCTGTGCGTGTTCCAGAGCCTTGGAAAGATGCCAGTCATTGAGTCACTGCCTCGTAAGTGAGTCTAGCTTCATGCTGTCACAGCAGCAACAACTCCCCTCTTCATCTTTGGAGTCTGAAGTGGACTCTACTAAAGTTGAATTGTACAGTGTTGCTGTGTGTTTAGAGATTATTTTTCATTTTGTGATGGAAAATGGGTTCTGTTTTAGTCTGATCATTTTTCCAAAGTGATCATACATGGGGCATTGCTTGAGGTACATTTTTTAAGACTGGGGCGGGGGGGGCGGTCAACCAATGTACAATGGCATATGTGAGAATGTCAAGGTGAAACCCGAAATAGTAATAAGAATATTAAAAAAGAGTGGTTGCCAGGCAAGGAGATGTACGCCTTTAATCCCAGCACTTGGGAGTTAGAGGCAGGAGGGGCATCTCTGTGATTTTGAGGTCAGCCTGGTCTGTACAGCAAATTCCAGGCCAGCTGGGACTACAGGGAGACTCTGTCTCAAAAAAACCCCCAAAAAACAAAAAGCAAAACAAAAGAATAAGGGAACCAGCCTGAGAAATTCATAAAATTTAGTCTATTTGGCCGGGCGTGGTGGTGCACACCTTTAATCCCAGCACTCGGGAGGCAGGAGCAGGCAGATCTCTGTGAGTTCAAGGCCAGCCTGGTCTACATAGTGAGTTCCAGGACAGCTGGGGCTACAGGGAGACCCTGTCTCAAAAAGACCTCCCCCCAAAAAATTTAGTCTAGTTTTAACTATTCCATTGTGTTTGAATGTTTAGCTTTATCTTAAGGTAAGAATTAGGGTACTACTAATGCTTATGACAAATTAAAAAAATGATATTCCTGATAAACATGTGATGTCATAGGATAAATTTCATTTCCAAACATGTTCTTTCCTTCGACACATTGTTGCAGTGGATTTTTCATGGTTTATCTCACATTAGTATCACTTTTCCTTTTTCCTTTGCTAGTCCCCCAGGCAGGGACCCAGAAGAGCCTACTCAGTGTTTGACTGCTTGGTGCAGTCAAATGCATATGGAACCCAAGAGAGCCAATCTTATTAGAGACGGGGATTTGGCTGATAAAAAGGTGTGAGGGCTCTGAGGATTTGTGGAGAAGTTGACATAAAAGTTGTTAACTATAAAATAGCAAGCTCACTTTAAGCTGTCCATGGGAATTACAACTGTGAACATGAACTCTGTGTGCGGCTGAAAGGGTCACAAGGACTGTTTACAGAGCATACTTAATGAATACTTACTGTACCCGTGCAGGAAGTAGCTGATAAGTCAGACATCCGCCTTGGTTTCAGTAATTTACACTCCTTTTTGGAGGAACTTAAATTCTTAAGAGCATTACATTTTATAAATGGTTGGAATGTTTCTCAAATGGGGCACTTCAAGACAAAAAAAGCATTTAAAAATGCCTTGCTATATAACTCAAGTTGAGCATTTCTTTTTAAATATAATGACAGGCAAATTTGTCTTTTTGAGACAGAGTCTCCCTGCTGTAGCCCCGGCTGGCCTGGCACTTGGTATGTAGACCTGGCTGGCCTCGATCTCACAGAGATCTGCCTGCCTCTGCCTCCCCAGTGCTGAGACTAAAGTCATGGACCACCATTCCCAGCAAAAAATATATAACTCTTAAAACATGTGGCAGTGTAGACTAGCAGCAAAAACTGTAATTGAACGTTTCTTTGAAGGAGGTAGTCAGTAGTTGAGATATGCTGACTGGAGATTGGTCTTGTGAACAGAGTGAGGCTGTGTGGTTCAGCACAGTAGTGCTTTGGGTTCTAATGAATGACCTCATTCTCCAGACAGAATTATCTCATTCAACCTGAATGTGGAGCCCAGGTTTATCATATAGCAAAAGTACATAAAGGTGGCTGTTTGCCTAGGTCAAGCAGGGTGGGGATGGGAAAAGCTCATGGAGGGTTGGCATTCTCATTGTTTGCCTTGCAATTGGGTAGAATTCTTCTAAGTTATTTCCTTCTCCTACAAATTGCTATTATTTTTGTGTGCTGAAACAGCACACAAAAGACCTAAGAAGTTAGAGGTGGAAGCATACCTCACACCTTTTCCTTTCCTTTACAGAGCTTAGGACCTTGGACTTTCCAGATTCATCTTTTTTCTTCAGTTCATGTCTTCTAGGGTTCTGGGTTTTGACAGTCAGCATGCTGCTTCTGTCAAATTGTAATATAACAGTTTGTATGCCCCATGGGATATTAAGATTTGCTCCTTCATTGTTAACTGTAATTTTTGCCAGTGTTTTTTTTTTTTTTTTTTTTAACCAGAGTTTGAGACGGTCTCCCAGTAGCCCCAGCTGACCTGTAACTCACTATGTAGTAGACCAGGCTGGCCTTGAACTCACAGAGATCTACCTGCCTCTGCCCCCCAAGTGCTAGGATTAAAGGCATATG